TTTAGTATCATCAGCAAACTTGCTGAGGGTGCACTCTGTCCCTTCCTCCAGGTCATTGGTGAATATATTGAACAAGACTGGACCCAGGACTGACCCCTGGGGGACACTGCTAGATATAGGCCTCCAACTAGACTCTGCGCCACTGACCACAACCCTCTGAGCTCGGCCATCCAGCCAGTTCTCAATCCACCTCACTGCCCACTCGTCCAGCCTGTAGTTCCTGAGCTTGCCTATGAGAATGTGATGGAAGACAGTGTCAAAAGTTTGTCCAGGTAGGCAACATCCACTGCTTTCCCCTCATCTCCCCAGCTAGTGGGGATTGGGCTGTATGTTTCAAGCATAAATAATCCCTCACATCCCAGGAAGCACAGTCAAGCTTCATCCACTTTGTCAATCAACAGTCAGTCAGCATAGATGCAGATGATCATAGATCCAATGATTGGTGACAGGACTCATGCATTCATTTTATAGTTCTGAGATTGAAAGACTAGCTGAGATTGAAAGAATAGTGTCTGAAGCCAAACTAGTATTCCAGAGATTGATCTTTCATAGTCAAAAGATACCTCTTCTTCTTCTAAGCTAGAGTGAGAGCAAAAAACAAAAGTAATTGAATGAGCATTTCAGCAATATCCTGATGTCAGCTTGCCTGCTTGTCACCCTAATTTAAAGGTTGCAGAAGTATGAATCTACCTTGAAATTTAAAAAAAAGTGCCTTACAAGAAGTAAGCTAAATTATTTTTGTTCATCTCTTTTGGACATGGTATCTGTTAAAGTATGCAATTCAATATTTTGTGCGCATAGCAAAATAAGGCAGAGTAACTAAATCAACATTTTCATCCATATTTTATTTCAAAATCCCATTTACGTTATGTAAGATTGTGAACTTATATGTTTCATAATCATTTTCTGTGATTTGATAAATCCCATGAACAGTGCAAAACTAAAATGCATGCAGGGGTTTGCAGGGGTTTGTGGGAAAATGTATCCGTTGTTATCAACGATATTAAAAAGTCATGACTATGTTTGTAAAAATAAAAAGTGTGGTCTTATTAAGGGAAGTTCACTTAAGAGTAGAAAATTAATAAATTGTCACAGTCAAAGTGCACTTGTATAATCTTCCAAAATGTATTGCAAAACTGCCAATGTAACTGCAAGTAGACTTTCAGTTAATAATACCTCTACTTTCCAGTGGTCCCACTTCTTTTTTTGCACTGTTCTCTGACAAGACCTCACACGCTCACATCTCTGTGCAATTCTATTTTCTTACCCAGTGAAGAGAGAAACTGACATTCCTTCATCCAGCCTTGCGTGTGCATATCCAGGTTAAACAACACATCTTAGATTCATACCACCTTACAGCAGGTGCTTAACTGAAGCATGTAAATGAAGGAGGCAAGTCACCTCTGTAGTCAATGGAGACAGAAATACACTTCCAGAGGTCAATTCAGGTGTTAAAGTTGAATCACTCTCTGGAGGTGCCTGCCCATCTTTATCATTTTCACGTGTCGTTTGCCTTTCTGCGTGCGGGTGAAGTTTTTAGCCACATCTTTAGCTCAAACAGGATCAGTATGATCAGAAGGTGGTAAGTATCATAACAATAACTGTTGATTCTACCTTTTGTAATCAAACAGCTAAACAGAGCACAACAGCCTCCCTTCTAATAAAAGTAAAAAAAAGATTCTATTGTTTCTTTTTTCTGTTTCTCTTTCTAGCTTCCATCGTCCTACAGAAGTGGTGGTGTCATATGAACCCCTGTTTAGATGGAGAGGACTGTAAAGTACTACCAGACTATTCCGGTTGGTCTTGCAGCAGTGGAAATAAAGTCAAAACCACAAAGGCAAGTACAGATATTGCCTATGTTTAAAGGTGGCGGTCTGCTGACCGCCCTTGCTTATTGTATTGCATCTGCTGGTGTGAGCACCAGCATTAGACATTAAACACATTCCAGTGTTTTGGAAAGCAATAATTAGTGCAGTGGTTCTCAGGGAGAAAAATGCTGGGTCAGAACTGCCCCTTCACTCCTAGCCTGGTTAAATTAGCAGGTCATGGAGTCAAAGGGGAGGAACTACATTAGGCAATTCGGGTCTGTGTGTCCTCCATCCCTGTGTTTACAGTGAGGTAAGATCCTCACAGCAGTGCATCTCTTGGCTAGTTCATTTGTTGTGTGGGTTTTATTCATGCCATTTATCTTGTGGGTTTGGGCTTTGCACTGCGCCTATCTGGGAAGAAAAGAAGGAGAATTTTTGTGAGTCCCGGACACAGATCACTAAGCTTACTTGCTTGTGCCTTCCTCCATAGAGATTCAGTGTCATGAGCTGACTAAATTCTGTTGGCTGAGCTCTGTAACTCAGTTCAAACCCATTGCTTCAGTCTTTAGTGAGGAAAGGAACCCTTCTGCTGTGACCAGTGCTAGAGGTAGTACATTCCAGGATCAAGTCCTCAATTCGCAAACTTAGTACAGGGATCTAAAGTCTTTATCAGGGCCACTGGAATTTAGATTCCTGTGCTACTGGAAAGCCTGTTATATATTGAAAGAAATAGCCTGACTCAACTCGTCTGAACTGATGTCAGTGGGAACTGTGGGATGCTGAGCACCACTGGAAATCAGGCTGGCTCAGATTGTTCCTAATTGCAGGCCATCCTGTAGACAGCCTGTTTTGGAAAAAACTTTGCTGTGCCATTCCATTTCTTAATTAACAGTCAGCAGAAAGAAAATATCATGTCCTCTGTCTTCGCAGTCTAAAATGAGCTCAGTGCATTAAAGTTCAGGAAGTCATAGTGAACTGTATATCTAAATATATCACAAAACAAGAGTCTTCAGCATCCAGTAGCAATCAAAGACATATGCTTAGCTTTTCCCTTTACAACCTCTTCTAGCTGGGAATGAATGTTGTTGCTTAGGTTACCTTCTGAGTTAATAAGCAAATACTGGCACCAAATGTTGTTTAATAATGGCTGTTCTAAGGAGCGAAGACTGTACTAAATTCTATATGAAAGAGAAAATTGGATGGTTTGGGCAGCTGTGGTGTGATACTGGTGGGCCAGAGCCCAGCCACGCATGCATTATATGGTAATAGGCTCAGTGGAAGAACCTAATCAAAGAAGCCAGAGTCTGAAAAGCCCTATTCCTGTTTTTAAGATCAGAGGAATTGTTACAAGTCAGTGTTGTTTATCAGATGCTAGAGATATAGTCTGCAGTGTGTCTATGCCTCAGCTGTACTTCTTGTGACTGATACTACAGCTGAAAGTTGACCTGCACAGACTATTCTACTCTAGAGTCAGTGTGGGTGACTGCCAGTCAGTTACTGCAAGGTATAATTACCCTCAGTCTTTGAATATTTTCCACAGGTACTGACTTCAACTACTCATGTATAGATAAGGGGTAGAGTGGTAACATCAAATACATGGATGAGACAGGTGAAGCAGGAGTTCTATGTAATGAATGAGACAATTTCATTTATGGACATACTGGAAAAGAGCTGACACTTTATAGAAAAAAAACGCTAATGGAAAAAAAATAAGCCAGGATTAAATATTCCTAATACCTTTAATTAGATACTAGAGGGATGAAGGGTAGAACAAAGAACTTTATGTTGGTGTTGATGACTGAAGGCCTGAGGTGTCAAGTCCTCATTCATGCAGCTGTTTCTTCCTTCCTATGAACAGTTCACTTTAGTTCATTGAGGTCGACTGACTATATGAGTCATATTGCCAACGTTCATGAGTCTTGCTCGTAAACAGTGAAAAGAGGCAGCCTGAGTCAGTGGGAGTTTACTAATAGAAGGGTAAATTTGACATGGGTCATTTAGTTTATTATCCATGACATAAATTGCAGCCACCAAACTACAGAATATGCTAATGCATTCTGAAGAATTTAGGGATGTCTTTTTAAAGCTAGAGTGCAACAAATCATCCTACCTTCAATAATACCTATGTGAATTCATCAAGTCCAATGAGTTTGTGTGGGTCTAAGAGAGGACTACATTTACTACATTAAACTCTTCCTCTACTTTGCTGGGACCTGGAGAAATGCATTTTGTACTGATTAAGAGATTACTTTGAGGGGCATTTAATTGGAAGTATAAAAAAACAACTGGCACTCATGCTCGGATATGAGGTATTTTACTAAATTACAGATATGAGAACTGTTTGTTTTTTCGTTCATGCTTTTGTTTTCCTTTCACTGTCCTTTTGTCCTTTTACGTTCAAGCACCTTAAGGCGGGACTGTCTTTTCTTGTACATGTGTTTAGGATCAGCACAGGGGAGGTCCTAATTCTGACTGGGGTCCTGATGTACTGCAACAATATAAATACAAATATGAATGAGTAAGTGAGTGGTTTAACGTTGCACTGAAAAGACACAAGAAAGTCCTAAACTTTAGCTAGTGATTGACTGTATTAAAGAAAGGAACAGGCCAGTGGTAGATTTCCTTAGAGGAAATGTCCCTTTTGAAAGGTGTCTTAGCCCCTCACTTCTTACTTAGTCTTTGTTATAAATTCTTCTGTTGTTTGCTGTATGTATTTTGTGTGTGGATGCTTCAGGCAAGTCACTGCTATCATGCTGTGCTTTTAAATGATTTGGTTTTGACCCATAAAGGCTTACTGTGTGCATTTACCTTTGTCTAACTCACAAGAGTTATTTTAGAGATTAGGATTTAGTGTAGCTATATCCCCAGTAGTAGTGACATTTCTAAAAGCTGAGGACTTGTCATACTATCTCCAGGCCTTTGTACTCCTGTAGCTGGCTTTTAGTATTGTACTTCCTGAGAATCAGTCTGAAATCATGATGTTTGTCTTTATTAGTGCAAGTAAGAAAGGACTTGAATTGTCCAAGGTTTTGTGGGTGGCATTCATTATGCTCAGTTGCAGGCACGTTTCTATCCAAGGTGAATTGTTTAGAATTCTCCAGAGTCATGTGGAGAGAAATGTGTGATCATACAGTGTGACTGTGCTCATCTGAAATAAAGTGTTTTCAAGGAGAGCTAATTTCTCTCTTCTGTAGCTTAAGGAAGGCCCAGATGACAAGCTTACATGTAGATGCCTGTTTATTAGATGGTAAATGCTGGGTCACAGAATCTATATCTGCGTCCATATTTCTTCTATAGATATTTTGCGTGTCTTAAGTTGCGTGTAATTTTCTCTGTCTATCGAGATGTCGGGGCTGTTGCACAAATATAATGAGTAATGATAATTCCAGATTCTGAACAGTAGCATGTTGCACATACGAGATAGAACTGGAAAGAAAATGAGTTAATTTTACAACAACTACCTTGTTATAGGGAAAAATGAAGCATGGAATAATGTATTTTTTGATTAAAAATGAACCAAAGATGTGTCCAATTTAGTCAGCAAAAGCACATTTATTAAAACTGCACACAAATAGAGTACTGTATGAACTGTCCTATCTGGTTATGGTCAGTAGTCCAACCAGTACAGCAGCCTATCTGTCTCAGTGCTGGGATACTTAAATGAGAAAAAGACAGCAAAACCCTTGTGGACAATTATAGCGAATGTACCCATACATGAAGTTCTTCTAGTTTAATAGTTGGCTTAAGCCTAAAACACCAGAGCATGGATTCATTCCATATTAATTTTTTTTTCTATGTTATGTAGCAAAGATAATCTCATTACCATTTACGTTTCTAATCAATTTTTTAAAGCTTACTAAGACCTGGGATCAGCACTAGTTGGGACAATGAGTTCCACAGGTTAATTATAGGCTGAAGTGGGAAATGACATTTAAGGGTTCTATCTTTTCATTTTTTGAAAATATTAGAGTAACTTGAAGTATATGAAGCTTGGGAGAGTCCTCACGTTACTCAGTATTTAGATGAATAGTTATAGTAGCTGAGGATGACTGTTAAATATGTGAAAAGCTGAAGAGCTCCTCTCTTACACAAGTTATCTCATGAAGGGAAATAAATTTATTTCTCTATACCAAGCCTCTGTTTAGTTTTGTAGTGTGTCCAGAGACCACAGAGCAGAGCTTACAAAGATTTTCTCTCTGCAAGCTGCCTATTCTCCTCCATTTCCAGGACAGGGTATCTGACATGATCCCTTCTCACCATTGGGCTGGCATAGCAGTGTGTATGTGCATTGTCCTGTGGCGTCCCTGAAGCACCTGACTGGGTCTGCATATGGTTATAATGGGAAGAGACCATGGGATCCCCTGGGAGAAGTGATATCCAGGAGTGGCTGCTGTTGCAAGAACAATTCATCCACTCTGCAGATTGTTCTGTCTGGTCCCTAGCTCCCTCCCATGAAGTGGAGCCCTGGGAATGGGTAGCAGTTTGCATGAATGATCCTTTGGGATATGTCATACGTTTGTTTTGTGAGCGTTGGTGTTGAAAATGGTGCTAAGCAAAATAAAGCAGAAGGGGAGTACCATGAGATGTTGGTGGCAATTCAATAATAAACTGCCGTTTCTTTCTCTGCTACTCTCTCCTATATTTTTGAATAACAGTCTAGTCAATGTTTTCCATACGGATTCTGTTTCTGTGCGAGTTATACGGAGCACATAGGTATGGCCAGAGCATGTTCATTCAGTATGGTTTCACGTGTACAGTTTCTTCACAGCATCAAAGCATGTTTTGTCATCCTTCTTTGATCGCTTCTGTGTAAGTAACTCTCTCCTTTTCTTTTTTAGGTAACACGGTAGCAAAAAATAAACCTGTGGGTCAATACTGGAACAATGGCATGTGCAACCGTGTTGCTTGGCTATTACACAGAGACCCTTTTTTGTGACAATGGCATAGACTTAACTCTTGGAACTTGCAAAATTAGTGAGGAAAAAGAACAATACTTCTACATTCAACTGTGGTTGAAGTTCTTGAACCTAGATTTTGCTGTACAGAATGGTACATGTTCAATTTCACAAGGAAAAGCAATGAGATTTGTTTCTTCCTGAAATATGCACATTGGATTCCCAAGGTTCTGACACCTGGCAAGTTCTTGAAAACACACACCTGGACTTCTGCGATGCATCAAGGATAAGACTCTCTTTATGATGCTGAGAACTGTAAAATTGCTTTAAATGATTTTAGATCATTGAAGTAACCTAGGAGGTCGGAGAAAGAAAATAGTTATGTTACAACCAATATGGATTTGTCTGAGACACTTCTCACATATGGTACAACATGATAATATAAAACTGATCCCAATGCCAAGTGAGTTGATGGGATAGTGTTAGTAAATGATGTCTTAGTGTATTTTCAACTGTGATTTAGTAAATATCAAGATTGTATGAAGGTGAAAGGATGGCACTTATAAATTAGTAACAATAATTGTAAGACACATTTTGTTTATATCTGTGCAATTACATTTATTTCCTTAGATAGTTCTAGGTATTTTACATTCATGAGTGATGGCAGGGAAGCACGAGGAAGAGACAAAATGTGAAAGTAGGCATAGTTTTTCTTGTCCTAAAATAAATTCATTCTCTAGGGGAATAGCAAAGTATACATATTTCTTGCCTCTTTGAATCTAGATATGGAAAAGAATCTAGCCATTAGCTAGAAATATTCATTCAGATGCCTCAAAAAAGGAGAGCATACTTACATAGCGTAAGGAAGGCTTGCTGGAAGAGAGGGGTAATTTGTTTGGATTTGCATAGCTTTGGTTATATCCTAATAGATTACATACTTAAAAATTCATAAGTAAAATTCTAGATAAAAATAAATCTTCACTTTCAATTAGTTCTTGTTTAGAATGATTATAATAATTAAATGTCCGTTTCCTTGACAGACTGAATTTCCAAGTGGTTACGCTTTGCGACACATAATTGTTCCATATTATTGTACATGCGTTTCATACTGTTTTTCTTATTTTCCTGTTACAGTTTTTTTGTCGTCAGTCTTCCTAAGTAGAACAGTAAGTAGAGGTGAAGCTGTAGCGAGTCTGTTCCCAGTTACATCATTTTGTGACTTAAGATGCATTGAAACAGACTAAAATGCAGTGATGCAGATGGATATCATGCAGAGGAACTACTGCTAACCCAGCTACTGAATTCATTGTTATGCTTTATGTAAATATTAGGATAACAATGTACAACCAATTTTTATATACCCAAAAATACCAAAAATATCGAGTGTGTGTTGTACTAATTTAGGTCATTGTGCTTTCTAGTTTATGGGAAAGATACCATCAGCAACGTGAAGCTATTCAAAGTAGTAATTGTTAGTTTTTGATTTGCTGGAGTGAGTGGGAGTATTCATCCAGTTAATGCCATTGAAGTCAGTGGTGGGAAGGTCTGGCCCTGAGTTTGTTTTTGATTTCTCTGGTTTAGTTCATTTTCAGCTATGTATTTGATTACAGCTGGGATCATAGTGGTCATTGTACTTGGTGATAAGTAAACAAGAAATCTTCTGCTCTGTGTTTGGACAGCTGAACAGTTATTCTACGTAATAGATTCTGCTTGCCCTAATTAGCTCTACATTCCTAATATTTTTCCGTTGTTTCAATCTTCTGATTAAATTTTAAAATTACCTTAAATATTTCTACCATTTCTGTGCATGTGTATTCAACAATATCATCAGTGAAGATCATTTTTGTTTACTCTGTGTATAATGCTGACCCACAACTGGTATCTATTTATTTATTTTGGTATGAACTATGCAAAGGCATATTAAAACACCATTGGTGATATATTCTAATCTAGTCTGACAAAAAAGACAAAGGATTTTAGAGAAAAGTTATCTTTTTCCTCTTTTTGAAGATAAGTACAAAGAAAATAAGCTATTTTGCCAGTGGTCACACGCTGGATTTATGGCAGAGTTGAGAACTGAAGCAAAATTTCTTATATCTAATTAAGTCTTTCCCATGAGTAGCATAAAAGTGGTACAGTATGTTACCCGCCTTGCAATAGCCATCTGAAAGCTATATTTGCATGTCAGTTAGGAGGAGGGAAAGTGCATAAGTTTGATAGCACAGGATTATGAAATACAATCCAAATGAATGACTTGCCTTCCTAGATCCTCAGCCCATGACAGTGATTTTATATTTCTAAAACAGCTTCGTTTCAGAGGATCTCTGGTTGATTTACAGCCTTCCTGACTCATTGCACAAATGCTGTAATACATGCCTGTTTCCCTTTGGAGGTTTGCCAATGCTGTTGTCAGGCATCTGAAACCAGTATTACTGTTTTGCTGAGCCATAGCAAAACTGAGGGCTTTGCCAGCAGCTGTTAGTAGAAGAGATCAGTGTCCTAGATTCTTGGTGTTCTCTATGTAAGTGGCTTAGTTCATGCATATCTGCTTGCTCTCGAAGAGTAGTATTCATAAGCAGTGTACTGGCAATCTCTTAGAAACCTCAGCTTTCTTCCCGCTGTTAAGCCTCTATAGGGCTAAAACTCCTGGGTCATCATGTCCAGGCTTTTGTTAGGACCAAAACTGCCTACTACAATCCATTTCATAAGGTGAACCCCTCAGTCTTACGATCACAAGGCTTTGCCATGCAATTTCTAACAGAAGATTGTAGCAGACACTCACTCTTCTGATGAAACGTTATTCTGGTTTCAAGCCTGAATTGATTCATGTCCTGATAATACCTATCTCTTACTTCTGAACTGTGTTCTTTTCTCCCCTCATTAGTATGGCCTGATGTATTTAGAGAGAATAGTCTTCCCTCACTCAGCTGACATTTCAGTAGGCAAAAAATAACCGTGTCCTCTTCATCTCCTTTTTTCTCTACTTATCTGTGTAGCTCTCTTTGCATCCATTGCATTTTAGGTGATTTTTTTTTTTTTTTGAACAAGGATTGCCATAATTATGCACTTTACTTGACATATACTGTTGCCAGTTTTCTACAATATCATTAGCACTTTCCCATCCCTTCTGGAAATGCTTCACTTTCTATAGCCTATGTTGCTTTTGCCTTTTTCATAACTGCGTCATGCTAGCAATTCATAGTCAGCCAGCATTTGACTAATATTCTAGGCTGGCTTCTTTTCAGCTTGTGCACTCCTTGCTTATAGCATATGTTCTTACTAATCCTACCTTAGAGCGTAGCCTTGAAGTTTGCACTGCTAAATGTCACCCACTGTTACTATCCCAGTCTGAGGTCATGAGATTCTGCTTTTCCTCTGAGCTGAGGTTTTCTGTGTGCCTCTTTGCAAGGCGAAGAATGAAAGACCCCGGGACTGTCAAGCGAGGAACTCCGCTTCAAAATCCAGCCTATTTCTTTTAAAACAGAAATTGCTGTTGTTGACTCTTTAACCAGTGTCTTACCATTGTCCTTATCTTCTCCGGTTAGATAGGGAATTCTCTGTGGTATCAAAATAAATGTAGGTCAAACTGGATTCATTGCATTTTCTTTATCTGGAAAATAAATTATCTTTATAGAAATCCCTGCAAGGTTTTCTTTGCAGCCTACAACTCTGTTAGATCCATGATAGATTTTATTCCATTTTTCATTTACCTCTAAATCTGTTATCTTCCAGGGTTTGTATTAGAATTTGTACCCAAATAGTGAATAAAATTCTTAGATTTACTGTAAATTTTCTCAAATGGTTAGTACATAGCAAACATGCAACAATAGAAATTTATTTGAAGAAACTTTGAAGTTTGCTTGCAAACTGAGCAGACAACTGAGTTAAGAGAGCAGTTAGGACTTCTGTCATGACAATAGATGCTTCTATATCTATTTAAATATAGATGATCCTTTAAGAAACTTTTAAGTATTTAGGATAAATGAATGCCTATAAACTGTGATAATCTCATTTAAAAGACTACCTTTCACAGCACAGTGTCCCCAAGCACTGATGTGGGTAATAGTTCTGGACAGACTTGGAATGGATCTGCTTACCTTGAAGTATGCTGGTTATGTTGAGCCTCTCTGAATTAATGAGTTTTTTTTTTTTTAAAGGATTCTCACTGCATGGAGGTGAAACTTCTATACCTGAAAATATGTAGTATGTATTGATTTCCACTTCAGTTATGTTAGTATTTAGTTCATCAACTAGAACCCTATGCGAAGGCAGGATTCTCTAGACAATGATAAATGGTGGGCTTTTGCAAAATGATGGCTTTGCCTTGATGACTAGACAGCACATCTCCCATTGAATTTCTTTGTGTCTTTTGCTTGTTAAACCATTTTTTTAAAGCCTAGACAGTGTTTTCAGCTTGTAATTTAAACTCTAGAACCTTTCATGCATATGTACCAGCTACCAGATTTTAGGCATTTGGATGGAAATTCATAAAGGTAACGATTTAGAATAACAGCCTGTACCAACCTTCAAGAGACCTTTCGCTTTTTATAAATCACCATAGCTTTATTATTGTTATGAGAACAAAGTCACCCACAAGGAGAAATTAATATTACTGTTAGAACACTTCAGGGCCCATTCTACCCTGCTATGTGTGTGTGTGACATTCCCATTAATACTAGTAGAAATTATGTGCGCTCAGGAGAAGAGCAGCTTTGGTAGCATAGATGAAAAGATTGTTCATTATAGTCATTTGCACAAAATGGTAGTCAATGAAATTTTACCAGAGAAATCACTACGAGCTACACTGAGCCTTGAAGCTCAGCCCTGTGAAATGTCACTGCTGTGTTTTACTCAGCCCAGGATGAGTTCTGGAAGTGAATGTCTTCTGGGCTTCTGAAATGTAATGTACTAGAGCCATGTAAAAGCTACAGACAAGAGGGAGACTGGGTGGAAAGTCTTCAACTCCTGCTTCCCTCTTCTTTCCCATCCCATAGAGTGAAGAAGGGAGAACTGGATGTACAGTTTTGCACTCCTTGCTAGGGCTGAAGTTCAGAGCCTCATAAACCTCCTTTAGCCAATGTAAGTTTTTCATTTTGGAAGACATGTAAGAGCATGATCAGATGACAAGTGATTAAGCAGCACATCTTAACAAGATGCTGATCTTCGGCTGAAATGCAGCTAATCTGCATTATTGTGGCCTGCAGTCTTATGAAATAAAGTAAGCTAGCTTAAACTACTATGAGAGTTGCAGCTGGTAGGCAGTAACTTTGAAAAAATATATTAGCTCTCTCATTTAGGGATGTCTACCTCAGCCTTAACCTGTACTATATGTGCCAAGTAGTTGCTTGTTTAGGGACTCTGGATGATCTAGCACTAACAATGCTTCTTCATTCAGGGTATGGAAGAGTTTTATCTTTGTAAGGGAAATTTTGCAGAACTAGCTCTTTCTGCTTAGGTCTTGGTACTTAGTCATTGAAGACTTTTCAGCAGAGGAATAGAAACACAAATGTTGTGTTCACTCACTGGAGTTCTGTTTCATTTCATGTCAATCCGTATCGACGTAGATTGCACACATTCATAGGAGCATTTACATATAAACTTAT